ACCCCATTTCCTCTCCCTTAATAAGTCATTGCAACAGCAGAGGACGACTTTCTAAAATCAATACCCATGTCCTTATTTTTTGCTACATTTAGCAGGGACTTGTCGCACCATGACACAAAGTCCTCCTCCACAGGCCGGTGATCTTAATCCACCAAGTCCATGTAGGCTGACTAATAACCGAATCATCAGTACATTTAATCATGTCTGTTCTCATCATTACTTTGACAGTTGTTCTTATTAATAATATAGAAGGTGAGGAAGACCTTGTTAGGATCCAAAGAGAGATTTTATCGAAAGGGAGACTGTCTGCCGTCACTGTGACCTGTTGGTTAAAGGGATAGTGCACATTAGAAGGAGTGCAGCTGTATGTACACATGGTGTATGTGCAAGGCTATTGATTGATGTATTTTTGATAAATCTTTCATTGTGTGATTAGTCAAATTTTTGATTGTTTTGTGATGTTAGCATACAGACAGGGGGAAATAGCTAGCCTAGCAACAAAATCTGCCTACAGAACCTCTAAAGCTCAATATTTAACATGGCATCTGTTTAATAAACCTTGTTTCCTCTCTTAATATTAAGCTAAGCTAATTAGCTAATGGCACTTTAGCCTCATATTTGCTGGACACATGTGTGACTGGTGTCGATCTTCTTGACTCTTAACATTTTAATGGAATAAGTGCATTTAAAATCCAGTCTGTTATGTTGAAATCAAGATTATCTTCATACAAATGCTTTTCTGCAGAAAGTATTCATGACCATGCAGCTATGTGAGATATTTGTTTCAAATCCTTTCAGTCCTTGCTTTTTTGATACTGAAACTATCAGAAAGGCTTGAATTCAGCAGTAGCCCCCTTTAAAATGGCTACCTTGAGTGTTTCATGGCTGAAAAAATAAAACCCAAATGATCCTGGCAGCTAGATGAAATGCTGATAGAGAAGAACAAAAGGAGGTCTGCTAGGTTAAGTGTGATGAATCAGGTGTGCTCTTTATTTAAAAAAAAAAAGCATTATCCACAATTCACAAAAGTCCTTTATAGATTTAGTTGCAGATAAAAAATGTTTAGCTTTTTTAATTTTTCACATCCTATCATAACCTAAGACCAAACAAGACCAAAATACAGTATGTATTCTCATAACTGTGTTTATTATGTAACGCTGAATTAAACTACCAATTCACAATCATATGCTGTAAAGGCAAAGGTGACAACCTTTTCCTGTAAAGCCTTTTAGCAAATAGAATTGATTTGGGGTTTTATTATGAAGCATCTATTCATCACTACTGTAGCTTAATTTACAACAAGGTCATCCATTCAGCTGGACATTTTGTTTGTTGGGGAATGAGTTTTATACAGTGAACATTTTAATGTAGTTTTTGCGAGCCTCAAACCTCCATTTTCAGTGAAGGTCATGCCTTTTCCTGTGCCATCACTGTCAAACCCCCCCATAATCAACAGAAGGTACTTTACCATTGGGCCATCACGGTCATACAAAATACTAATTAAGTATTGCAGTTTTTAAAACAGATACATTTTGGTCTCAAAATGACTTTGACATTGCACTGAACTTATACTATGCCTCATGCCTATTCAAAATGCCATGTTATGTTGTTAGATGGTATATATGGTCAGCTGTGTTATTAAAAGCATTTCATCTTGGGGGNGGGGGGGGGGGGGGGCAAATTCATAATGTGTGAAAGCCACAAACTGTGATTGTGTATGAATATTTTGGCATCATAAATAAGTGGGTCTATCATTTTTCACACACACACACACACACACACACACACATACACAAAACAGGCCTGCAGCTGGAGATAAATGAGCTGTGGAGGAGAATTCACAGAAGATACAGGCAAGGAGAAAGATTGCATGGATACATGTTTACATGTGCTCTTGTGTGCGTTCCCTGTAATGTCTATGTAGTGCTCACTATTATTTTGTAGTTATAAATGCTGGGCTTTAACAATGACAATCAGTCAGTAATTCATTTTCTATTATGTTCAGTGTTACAATAGGCCAGCTTTGAGGACATGAAATGCCCTGCTACAATGGATGGCATACAGTTGAGTGATAAAAGTCTGAAAGGAGTGCAGTCCTGAACATAACAGCCACTACTTTAAAAAGACACCTTAAAATTTCAGCAATTGTAACTGCATCCTCAAGTGACACAGCCACAACAACTGAAGTGATAGGAGCAGAATATTGTTGCAGCAGTGCTTTGGGCTATTTCTGCAGTCCAGACACGATTGTGCTGTTTCATGTCATTTGACATGAGGCAATAAGACAAATATAACAGAACAGAAATCATAAATCACATGGCAAGCATGTGACAAACATGTAAGAAGTGTTCCTGATAAAGAAAAGTGTGTATTATGTGCATGATTGTGTGCATCTGTGTGACAGTGCAATATTGTTGCATTCAGACATGATCACAGCATCCAGGCATTGCTGGATTCATCCACTAGAGGGCCCTGGGGCGAAAATTAATTGTTGGGGCCTCATCCCCGCACTAAGTGTGTATGTACACAGTTGCTATCAAGTAAATATGTTGCCAAAAGAAACCAGCCAATTCCTGTTTGCTGGAAAACCGCCTTGCACAGTTCTTTATCATTTCTGTTGGCATTTGCTTTAGTGGTGAATAGGGTTGGGTAATCTTATCCAGTCAGATCATCCTATCGCCACCCTGTGAAATTACCAATCCCGGATATAATCACCTTGAGGGGGGGCTATGGTGAGTTAAAACTAAGCAGAACTATCATCACAAACATAGCCTTATTTATTTACATTTAATAATCAGAGCATTCACAATAATGACTCAAAATCAGCAGGGGGGGTTGGGGTAGAAACAGCTGTTTATGGCTTGCAGCTCTCTCCTCCCTCTCTCTCTCACTCTCTCTATTTCGTTGACTCTCCCTTCACTTCCCTTTTGTTTGTAGATAGTTACAATGGGGGGGGGGGNAGGGGGGGGGGGGGGTGGAATTAACGAAATTTCTATTTCTGATCATGAAAAGAAAGCAGGCTAAAAAAACTGAACTAAGTGACGTGCTCTGTCCGTTTCTGTATTGATCTCCTCCGCTCTGTTTAATCAGAGCACAGCACCTTAAATACCAGTCAGTTGCTTAGAGAGTGTGTGTTTGTGTGTGTTTCTGTGTGTATGTGTGTGCGCATGTGCATGTGCATGTGTTGGTGTTGCAAATGTTTGTTATATTCAATACATATGCAATGCATGTGAAACTATGGCAGGGTATATTCAATTTTATAGTAATTTAATACTACCAGTAAGAATAATAATAATAATAATCTAATACATCAGTGGAGAAACAAGCCAAATGTCATCTTGACATGGGCAAAGGCAAGGTATATTACCGTTAATTAGATTGCTATAAACCAAATGGGACACAATGAACCTGTTTTTTTCTGGGGCCCCAGCAGGTCTGGGGCAGTTGCCCGATTTATGTGGTTGGTAATTCGGCCTCACTTCCGGGAGGTTAATTTTATGCTGTCTGAAACTTAATTATACACACATACACAGACACACACATAAACACCCAGAGCTCAGATAAACTTATCAGCATTTGCAAAGTGAGTTAGAGTCTATTTTGATACCCACTATTTTGGTCCGGGCTCTTAGGACAGAGTAGAAAGTGCATTCAGTTCAAACACACATACACATACACACACGCACACGCGCGCGCACACACACACACACACACACACACACACACATATGCGCATGTGCCAACAGAAACACACATACACATAACCCAGACCACACTGTATATATCCTTCACCACTAACACTGAAAAGGCAAACTCAGTGTGCAACCTTCTGCTCAGCTTCCAGTTTAACTGTATACACATGACTGCTAATGTTAGCTCAGCCAAAACAGGTCTGTCCAAGGGGGAGGCTTAGCGGTGGGAAATGTTGGCAGTCTCGACCCTGCCAACTTCATATGCTGTTTGTTACCAGGTGGGATATTCTCAGGGGTCTAAGTGACTGCACCCAACTCTGGTAGTGTTAGCAGTAAGATGATCCGGCCACAACACACCCCTTACAGGTGCATTTGAAGAGGCAGTTTCTGAAGAGGTAAGGCAGCATTTGTCCATTCGAAAGGCATTCATATATATAAGTCCTCAACAGATTTACCTAGAAACAGAAACATCAGTTTCATTGCTTGCTTTGCAGCCTTTATAGTCCTTAATAAATTAAAGAACTGCTTCAGTATCACTTTTACAGCTGCTGTTTATTGCAGGTTAGTGGGCAGTAATGGATGGCGCTGTAGTTTGCAGCTCACCTATTGAACTCTCAGCCAGTTCACCAACCTACGATTGTGTGCTCCCTCTGCCTTGTGCTTAAGGAATGAAACTGTTACACCAGCATTACAGGCATCAACAAGTGCCCAGTGATGCTTATGTGCACTGCAAAAACATGTTAAAACCTGGACTGTAAAGACATGAATCTATGAGTAGACAACCTTTGCTCTGAACCTTTTCCTTTTAACGCTTCCTTTTGTTTTCTTTGACGTGTCCTTGTCTCTCTTCAACACCTCTGTCCTCTGTCCTCTCAGTTCCTCTCGTTTGCTCTTCAAAAGCACTCAGAGCACACCTCTATTCACCTCCACTCCTCAGTACCTTTCTCTCTCCTTTCAGTCTGTCATTTCCACTGACCCAGATACACACACAAGTGCGGTCAACAAGACACACACACACACACACACACACACACACACACACACACCCACACACACACACACACACAGACAAGCACACTATAATAAAAAGGACCTATAATAAAACTGCAGTTGCAGACTCACTGAACCGCAAAGCGTTCAAAGTGCCCCCTGCCTCTGGAATAACAAAGACATTATAAGCTAATAAAGTTTTCCTTACAATCCTGGGTCAACACTGCACTGCAGACCGTCTGTTTGTCCCTAAGCCATACCTCATCTACCCAGCATGCCTGCCTCATCAGACGACACGATGAGGCAAACTTCACCCACCTTTCACTCTCCTCTTTCTCCCTCTCCTTCTCCTTGGCTTTGCGAGACTTGTGCAGGAGTCCGATCAGGATCACTGCGGCCCGTATGCCGGCCTTTTTGTTGTGGAACCGTCCTGAGGTCTGAGACATACTGGACGATTCTGCTGGTGCCAGGAGGGGTTCTGGTGACAGCCGGTCCAAGGTCAGGCCGGCTCCAGGGCTCCTGGGCTGCAGGACCTGCTTGGTTGTGGCTTTGCGGGGCTCCAGTGTGACCTGTGGATGCCACAATCTTGGATCTGTATGCTGTCAGTTCTGGAGACAGCTGGCCAAGTTTCTGCCAAACCGAGAACCTGTTTGAATTCTGACCCTGGCTCGGTCGTTTAGAGCCTCTCTGTCAGATGTTTTGGTATAAGTCAAGAAAAGTTAGAGTTTCACAGGTTGTCAGATCTGATCAAATCTCTGTTCTTCTTGCTTGCAGGATCAATGAGCATTTGTTGTAATCCCAAGGGTCCAGAGTGGCACTGTTGGACTCAAGCTCAAGGTGAACTTCTATCTGCATTTCCTGCTCCTGCAGTGAATCTGGACATCGTAGCTCCATAACACACCATGGTCCCTGATGAGAGGATGAAGAATTGCGCTACAGACAGCCTCGCAGACACGCTCACTGTGGCACTGCATCTCTGTGTCTACCTACCTCTATATTCCCACCTCTACCTCCTCCTCTAGCATGCTCTGCTTCTTCTCCCTCTGTGTCTGCTGCTGCTCTGCTCCCTCCTTCCTGTCTGCTGAGCCCTGCCCTCCCTCATCTGATAGGCTGCACTTTGTGCAAAGCCCCGCCTCCTCCTCCTCTTACTGTATGACTCCCTCCGTCTCTCCCTGCCCTTGTTTCTACCTTGTTAATAATTTTACATTAATCTCCCTGACCTTGCTCTATCTATGCTTGATTTTGTGATTTCATTTCTCTGCACATGCATGCACACCCACATCTACCCACCTCCTGCTCACCACAAACCCTCCCTGTGAAATCTCAATTCAAACAGGCTTATCAGCCCATTGCCTGCTGTGCTGTTGCCAAGGACATTGGAATTGAAATGTAATCTCACAAAATGAAAGGAGGATTAAATGTGAAAATTATAATTGTAACAAATTTTACATGCTCCGTTTTGTGCTCAGACACACATGGAAATACATAACATATATTTTAATACTGCATTTCTTGTTCTTTGCCTCCTGTTTTCCAATTCTGCCACATCTTTTCCCCAATTTACCTCTATTTTTATTCTCCACACTAATAATACTATATGCATTAACCTACAGTCTACAATGCTGGTGTTTCTCTCCAGCTACAGCCAGAGCCAGTTTCCTCTCCAGTTGTCTTACAGTTCAGTAAACAGAGCTAAAGCAGCCATCTTCCCAGAATATATTGATCTAAAGTGTTCTGTTTCCATCTGTGGCCACCTGTTCTTCTTCCTCTCTGTTAGTAAGGGAGCTAACCAGCTGGTTGAGTGACTGAGGGAGTGACTGAATAAATGAATGGTTAATTGACTAATTGACATTCTTTATTTATATGCATTTGTTTTTTATATACATACATTTTTTACATACAATTTCTTCCTTGTTCCAAGCAGGTTCATCATTTACTCGTGTGATTGTTTTTTGTTTTTGTTCTTCCATTTGTTCATTACGACACTGATCTGGCTGCCTTTGCATATCTTGGGAAATTCCCTTGCTAATTTTCTTGCTGAGAGTTAGATGATTAGATCAATACTGTGCTTGTATAATCTGAAGCCAAAGCCAGTGAACCTATCTTGGCATATTGCTTTTACATGTCAGTATATGTATGTATTGAACAAACAAATTATATGATGTTAATTAGTGAGCTTTAGATGTGCCTAAGGGTGGGCTTCTTTTTACCAGTGGGATCCATCTTATCTAAAAGTCAACAGGAAAGTGTGTTTTAAATACAGTGTATGTATTTGCTATGTTTCCTGTAGAGCACAAATTGTAGTTTCACTCTTGATGGTACGTCCAGGAACCATATCAGTGTTATAAAGCTATGATTTGCTACCTTTCATCTGTCCTATTAAACAGCTTTACCGTCAGGCTTTTCATTATTGATTTCCTCATTTCTCTAATGAGCTCATGTTTGATTGGCTTTCTTTTTACATTACCCCAGACAATATAAACTCTCACAGACTGAGGTAAAAATAGCTGTGTGAATTATGACGTTTTCACGTGGCAGTGAAGATAAGAACTCTCTGTTGACAGAGAAGGACACAGACATAAAACTATACAAGCGACATAAAAGCCTGATGCAGCAGAAACATACGCAGTGAATCACACAGCACATCTGGTGGAACTGGCCTGGGTCAGAGTGGCGACAATAATAAAGGGGTGAATGTTGTTTGATAGCTGAAATGGACTGTCTCTGACTCCTTGTGCAGAGGATAATTAGAGAAATGCATCATTCAAGACAAGAGACAAAGACATCTGAGTAGATGAGATGCCTCAGTAATTGTCTGACAGCAGCCAGGGAATAGAATAAGCCAGGGAAACAGCAGCAACAAACACAACAATTAAATGCAAAGTCCCATTTCTCTCCTCATGCATTGCTCTTCCTGTGTGTGATCAGCGCCATAGCAACCGGACAGCTGCCAGAGGATCTGCCTGAAGAACCCTCAGAGCTGTGTCCCCTTGACACCCACCCAAGTTAATTTTCTTTATGGAATTTGCTTGCAAAAATTGTATTTTGTGATATTTGTGTGACCCAATCTGATCACGGCTGCTTCACGCAAAACCACCTGAGGATTTTCCCAACTCCTGTGTGGAGGCAAACAAACAAGCTCAGAACTCAATTGGACTATCAAAGTCCCCTTGAGATAGACTGTTAAAAACACATACACTATATGTACATATACACACACACTCTCCCTCACATGTGCAGACTCGGCCATTTCACTAGGGTCCTATTTTGCGTCATCAAGGGGGGAAAGAGACACCTGTAGCTATTCACTTTCAGACACACAAACACTACTCACTTGCTTTAACCCCCCCCCCCTCTTCCTCTCACTCTCTCCTTCACCCTTAACATGCACAGACCCACAGCTGTGACATTGTTCCTGTGTGACACACTGAGGTGTACCAAATACACCCCTGTGCTTGAATCAACATTCAGAGCAGATATGGTGTGATTTCACAAACTGTACCAGTGACTGGAGATATATAAAATGAGATTTAGTGGACATGCAGCTAAAAGCCACTGATAAAACTTATTTGACAAAGGCAGGTCCTTACTATTTGAATGATCTGTTTTCATTTCCAATTTTAAACTGTATGTTAGTCGATTCATGCAAGGAGGTCATGTGTCCCCTTCCCCATTTACATCCAAACACCTTCACACTACATCCACACTACTACCTAATTTTAAAATGCATCTCTACGTTGATACCTGGCTTCCAAACACAAACAAACAATACTCCAGAGTTTTTGAGCTCCTAAAACTGAGACTTTTAGAAACGCTGCTGGCCCCGTTTCAGTTTGAAAACTCTGGGGTAGTGTTATAGTCTGGACGATGAAAAACGCAGACCTTTGGAAATGATGATGTAGACACTCCCTGATTGGGACTTATTGGTCATGACTACCAGCGTGTTGTCTTTGCTAGCAGCTGTTGTGTAGTTAAATTGTACATTATAACGCTACAACTGCCTTTTGCTGTTGCTCATTTGTATTATTTTCTGCAACTACCCAACTGCAGAGTAGATAATCTACTTCCTGTTTACACCGGCTTGTGCATGCGCAGTGTATGTGAATGGTCATGTGATATGCATTTTTAGGTGTGTTAATATGGATTAAGATCTTCTCTGATATGGAGCTAAAACAGTTTCTGGACAGAGATCATATCCATTTTAAAACTGTGTTTTGAATGAAAATGTAGTAGTAGACATAGCCTCAGCTAATTTGACAAGAAGCCAAAAACTCTTCCTGTATTTTTTCATAATTTTGGATTTTTAATAAACAATCTTGTTGGTCTAAAAGAAGTTAAATTAAAATATTGGAATCAGCTTACACAATCATTTTTATAAAATTGTTTGTCGCTGTAAAATAGCTGGAATAGCTGGATGATATTAGTGCTCAAAATTTAAATGAAAATCGATGACAGCTCAATACTTTTTTCAGATGTCCAAACTTCTTCTTCGTCTCTCTGTAATGCACACACAGACATGCACACACACTCGTGAGATCGTCGGTGGTGCCAAGCAGTCTTTCCTGTCACTTCACAGCTTCTCAAGTGTCTCAAAAACAAACAGATGCCAGTCTACCAACGTCACCTCTCTTTGCAGCCCAGTATATTACAGGACACACACACACACACACACACACACACACACACACACACACACACACACACACACACACACATTATATGCTCAACTCTAAAATGAGCCTCTTACTAAACAAGAATACACCATGGCAGTACCTTGGCAGTTGTTATAATAGGTCCAACCTTTATACACAAGGCCACATACTTGCCTGCACACACACACACACACACACACACACACACACACACACACACACACACACACACACACACACACACACACAAAATGCTTGACCCAACTGAAAGCTCGCTGGGGAAAATGACCTTCACAACTGCTGCTGAGTAACTACTCCACCCCCTAGCTCACACACACACACAAACACAGTCCCTCCCTCTTCCCACTTTCCTCGCCAATTCAGTCCAGTTTTTTTCCAATCCACCAAGTTCCTCAGTCTAATGGCGTAAAAATAGAAAAACAACTCATCAGGACACTTTTATGAAATCCCTTTTCGTCATCCATTATATGTACCCCTGAACATGAGTGTGTGTGTGATCCAGGTACTCATATTGTGGGGACCTAAAGCAATGTTCTCTGAAGACATGGAGAAACGAATGTGTATGCGTGTAGGTGTGTGTGTGTGCAGCTACAGTATTTGTGCACCACGCAAGATAGTAACTATCAATTTCAAAGCAGGAAGAAGTGTCTGCTGTTTATGAAGAAACACCAAAGTTCAGATGGAAATGGCAAACGTGCCATAAATAAGAGATTAACTCGGAAATGTCATGTTGTCATATAAATCAAATGATGAGGCCTGAAAGCAAATAAAAAGAAATGTCATCGCTCGCTCTCTCACGTCAGGTCATAGCCTGATGTACAGAAGGTGCTATGGGAACGAGAACTTTAGATGTGGGACCTACATGTGTTTGATGTGGTTTAAAATGTGATGAAGACTTTGATTATGTTGCAGAAAAAAACTTTCAAGTCTTGGTATTTCAGACATAATGCGGTTTGATGTAGCTCCTTCTCTACAATAACTGTCAGTCCCTTTTATAAAGCAAGACTGTGTGCTCTGAGTGGTTACACACGGGAGTCAAAGATTTATTTTCCTGCTGAGATTGCTTTTGAATGTGTCTTTGTTGGGTCAAACATCAACATAATTTTCTGAGTTTTGTTTCTTGGTGTGCTTTGGCTGGATTATTCTAAAAAGTGACAGGTTTAGTAAAAACTCAGTTTGTCCTCATGTGCTGAGGCTCTGTTTGTCATGTCAGCACCAGATGGTGAAAGGAATTCCTCACTTGGTGTGTTGGTGATGTTGTCAATTTAGTGAGACTTACATTTATTGTTATGAAGATGAGATTTGCTCTGCA